TCTCTGAGTCACCTTTCAATTCTTGTAATGAAGAATCAGAATAGGAAAAGATTCTTCTTACCTTATCAATGCAACCAAGTTCTTGTAGTTTCTCTTTCAGGACAATTAGACCAAACTCATCCACATCTAGATCACGAAATATATGGCTAGTGCCTCCCCTGTAAGCAGGTCTGGTAGTGCCATGGACTCTTCCTCCGTACCACAACTTGAGAGTAAATGTTGTTTCACATGGGACTGTTTAAAATATGCATTCAATGTGGTAGGTCAATCATTTGTCAAATCCAATACAAACACACAAACCATTAGATAAAGTTAAAAAAAGAAAAAGATTCTGGTCCCATTTGTCAAATCCAAAAGGATTAAGGAAAAAAGAATCTGAGCAAAGATAAACCCTACCCTACCTTCTCCAACACCATAAAACGCCTTTGTGTTTGTGTTTATCACTTCACCAAATTTCTACCCACATAATTTGTACAAAACTTCACAAAATTAGGATGGATGAATTTCTTACCTTTTTTGTTGTCTTCGACACTCGTCCCTTCTCCATGTGCTTTGCGCCCCATTCCGATTGTAGGCACTCCAGTAGGTCGCGTCCTCATTCTCAGCTTCCTTATTAAGGGAAATGAAAATTTCAGGTTCTAAGGTAAAGGAGAGACGCTTAGGTGATAGTTAGTCATTTTAAAAAAGTATAATTACTAAAATAACCTTAAATAACATCCACTTAATAGTCAAATTTTTAAACCCGTTGGAGTTCACGCCGGAAGGATGAGAAATGGTAATGAGAGAAAACGATGGGACAAGATGTGGCAAAGTTGGAAGACAGATACAAAATTTGGAAGTGGCATAATAGTCATGAAACCAAAAGTGAATTTTTTCGTATAAAAACTGACCAAAATGAATTTAATAATGTTTTCCATTTGAAATCATTACATGAAATCAGGCAGCAAATCTGCAATGCATGCTACTGATTCTAACACTCCCCAAGAGATCAAGTGCATTAAATGCATTTATACACTTGTCACTTCACACATTTTTAGAAGTGACATATGTACAAACAAATGCAATGATACTTATAAAAAATATTTTTAACAATTAAATAAATTTTACACAAAAATATTTCGTAATAGCAATAATTTCAATTATAAATTGTAAATATCTGTTTACCGATACTTTGAATTTTAAATGATAAATTATTATCTACAAGAAAATAAAAATGGGAACTTATATATTTCATTAATAATTAGTTTATGTGAAAATGCGGTCGACTCCCTCACGTAGGGTTTGAGCATCTCGGCGCTTTTGTGCGCCGTCGTCTTTGGCAAACAAGGGGAAGGGCCGTCGCGCCTCGATGCTATCCTCGACTCGTGCGAGGGTTCCGGGGGTTGGGTCAGAGCAGCAGGTTTGCGCAGTAGAGCGTTCGTAGGGGAGGTGTGGAAAAGTTAGCGAGAGACTATGGCTAGTCACAGAAGGCACCTTAAGTGGGAGCGGACCGAGCAAGAAGGGCAAGCAAGAAGAAATTCCCAGTACCAGAGATGAGGCAACAGAGTTAGAGAGGCAGCATGGAAGCAGAAGCGTGGGAATTTCTCCCACTGTTCGATGCTGGGGTCGATGCTGGCACAAAGAAATTCCCATTCCCACATCCTTAGCTCCGTGGTCGATGCTGGCACAAAGGAAGCACAGAAGAACGAAACAGTGGTTATGGAGGGTCCTTCAGGGGAGCAGAAGCGTAAAAGAATGTGGGAGGCAGAGGAGCAGGAGGATGACGAAAGGGACAAGATGGCATTGGACTTCTCAAAAAACGGAGAAAGGGCGGGTCTCGGGCACTAGCCCCGCCAAGAGAACTGAGGATTTTTGTCAGCTGTTTGTGGATGCAGCTGAATTCCCGCTACTTTATTTTCGTTGTTATTTTTTATTCTGATCAGACTATCGTTGTTGCTTTCTGTTTTTCTTATTTCATTCGCCAGACTCTTGCATTAGGTTGGGGTGATGAGGGATTTTTTCTAACCACGTTAGGCTCATTTAGACCCATTATACGATCAACGAGCCATATTGCTTTTTCGAGGGTGATTGGCTCTAAGTCTGGTTCGAGGGTCGGTGGTTGGAAGTTGTCGTTTTATCTTCTTGTTCCTTTGATGAATGCTTTGATATCAATTGAAGCCGCCTTTTCCCAAAAAAAATTAATAATTAGTTTAAAGAAAATAGTAATTGCAACTTATATTTTTCATTAATAATTATTTTAAAGAAAATAGTTATTTTTCAATAATTATTTTCAAATAAAAATTAAAATTGTAATTATTTTAAAATAACAATTAAAATTTTAATATTTTTTTTGAAAATAATTAAAATAAAATAGTAATTGTTTTCTAGAAAGTAATTATTATCAAATAACACTAAAAATAGTAATTATTTTTCAGAAAATAATTAAAATAAAATAATACTTTTAAAATTTTATTTAAAGAGAATTATAATTTATATTTATTAGTAATTCTGTAAATAGGAACTTTATATACATATTAGAAAGTAATTGTAATTTTGAACAACATAAGTCCATTCCAAAATATGTTTATAGCATTTCTGTTCAGATTTTATATAGCATTGTTAATACTGGTTATGACTACTCTCTTAATTTATATCGCAACATTCAGTGAGGTAGTGGCTGTATTTGTTATCTCTTGAGATAATCTGCTAGTTTAGTGAATAAGCAGTTGACATTGCCTGTTCTCGGTTCCAAGTTGATGTTGTTCTTGAAACAATGTTAGATAGGAAGTTTCACTTGTTATGGATAAAGGTAATTTAGATGCCATTGGATTGCATTTTGACGGGCCTACTGAAAGGTGATACAGCCATATGCAGGTAAAGTTCTTTCTATGGAAGCTGATGGAGTATATGGCCCAGGGAGCACAAGAGGCCCAAAGCACATCGGCCCGAGTATCAAGAAGCCCACGGTTCACATACTGGTGCCCTCGGCCACTTGGCAGAGGGCTCCAAAACTCACGGGGCAACTGGATTTGATCATACAAAGCTACTGGGAGAAAATGACAGAAATCATGACCTTTCAGCTTCCAGGCGCCTTCGACATAAGAGCAGCCTTCGGCTACACATAGCCTTCGGCCATAAGGGAGCTTTCGGCTACAACACAATCGTCGAAGATTCCCTTTGGGGACAGGCAACCACCGCATTTAATGCGGCGTCACGTCCACCCATCGCATTTAATGTGATGCACATGCGAATGTCGGTGCCACCCCGATTGAGGTGACCCCTCGGCCGTTAGATAGTTGACATGTGTACTCTCGTCGCATTTATGGCTGCTATAAATAGCAGCCATTATTCTCCTTGTAAAACACGTTGAGTTCATTCAATACATTTAACTCTCTCTCTTACTTGTTTGCTCTGACTTCTCTCTAGTTATTCTCCGCAATAACCCTCGGATAAGCTACCCCCCGGGCCTAGGATTTGACTTTCAAAAACGAAACGCTCCCTGCGCTATCCCCCAAGGGGAAGCAGGCAACAGACCATGTATCAGGCTGAGGGGACGACTTTCAAAACCGAGGCGCTTTCCGCACCATCCCCCAAGGGGAGGTAGGCAACAGACGATTTCTCGGGCCGAGGAAACGACCTTCAAACCCCTCGGGATTTTGGAAGGTCAATCCCCGAGGGGGAGCCAACGGTTTATTCCGTTGGCTCCCATATAGGCCAAGCCTTTCCAAGAAGCCAAGTTTCTTGATGCCTCTCCTACAACAGATAAACAAAGGGGGGGGGGGGGGGGGGGGGGAGGAACTCCCGGGATATCATGCTCCCGGAGGCTCCACTACAAAAACATTACCCAAGAGATGCACTCCCGAAGGCTATCCCCAGAAGTACAAAGAAATTTACTAAGTTTGAGACTAGGTTGCTCAGCCGAAGGCTCCACTGCCTAAAGTTGAGAGTGCACTTATCCAATCATGAAGCCCTCAATGGTAAACCTATACTCACCACACTCTTTATCAAGGGGCGCTACTTTATTTATCATAAAGAGGGGCACACCAATAAACTTCACCAAATTTTGGTGAAGTCCAAAATTTGGCCAAGGCCGGCGGCTAAGGCAGATGACAAATACAAGGGGCCATCTTCCGAAGGCACTTCGAGGCAAATACACCACAACATAGAAATTTGGCTAAATCCACGTTTCACATCCCCTCGGGTGAAAGCCTCAAGGTTCCCTAGAGGCCATGTTCCCGGAGGCTCCTCAACAAAAAGGACACCTCGGAGATACCTCCCCGAAGGCTCTATCTGAGAATGCGAGGAATTCTCTAAGTCCAAATCAAGTTTGATGGAAACAATCGAGGGTCTTACTATCCCTCATACCCCGAAGAGTACGGACCAACGAAATCTACTAAAGCAGCGTGGAAATTTGGCTCACGGTTTACACCCCTCGGGTGAAAACACCTAAAAGGAGACTATATACCGAAGGCAAGATCCTATCAAATTCCTTCTGAGGTGGAATTTCCTAAAATTCTACCTTGTCTAAGTCCACCATATGCCGAGGGCATAACTTTACAACTTCCCCGAACTTTGTTAAGGTCACTATGGAAGAGGGCTCATTTAGCTCACTATAGTTGGGGGCTGACTGCAATAATGATCGAGGCGAAATGGAAATTTTTCCAAGTCCACATAAAGGTCCCCTCGGTCACCTATGAAAATGCTTAGAGGAATTTCTAAGTTCACAACTATCAAAAGACAACGAAGGCTACCTATTTCACACAGCTAAAGGAATATGGCAAGTGGGGGCCTAGTGGTAAACATCACTTAGAAAAATTTTCTAAGTCCTAAACATTTTGCCCTCGGTCAATTCACAATACAGACATACATTCATAAAGCTGTGAAGAAAACATAAAGGAAGGAGAAGGCGTTCATTCAAAAAACGTCGAGGGCAAATTCAAACATCAAAAGCCCGAAGGTATCTATGCATTCATTCACGAAAGGAAATAATACTCCCTCCGTCCCCCTGTTATTGTCTCATTGCGGTTTATGATGCTTGACCGACGATAAAGCAAACAAATCCCTGTGCGTACTCAAATTATTTTTAGAAAAAGAAAATTACATATTCAGAAACTACAATAAAAGATTTACAAAGTCGCAAAAACCAGAATCAAATTTGATAAAAATTTGATACATAAAACCAGAATCACATTTCCTGTTGACCAAGTGAATAGGAAATGTGACAATAACAGGGGGACAGAGGGAGTAAATTGGTTGTACATCAAGGCCGAGGCCAAAAGCTCATAAGGAGTTATTACAAAACATTGTTCAAAATATATTTAAGTACAAACATCAGCAGCGCCCCCTTCAGCAGTTTTGGAGGTGGCATCATCATCAGCAGCCTCATCTTCGCCACCGTCCCCCATCATTTCTGAATCCTCAATCACCGGCCTCTCTTCACCCGGAGGGAGGGGGACTCTCACATCTGGCTACCGAAGGGGGAGACCATACGCCTTCAGATCAAACTGCTCCGGGGGGGATGTTGAAATGCCGGGCCAACCTCCTTGATAATAGCAATCGCCTCTCTCGGCCAACCACATTTTACCCGGGCCCTCACCCCAGGCATCAACCTTCTTCTCTACAACCGAGGAGACCCAATCATTCTTGTCCCCGTTCATCCAGCCCTCGGCAATGAATGCCTCAACGGCGGCTCTCCCAGCTTTGGCCACCTCCTCGGCTTTCACCTTCTCGGCCTCCTCAGCAGCGATCTTGGCGGCTTCAGCAGCGGCCTCCCCAGCCTCGGCTATGGCATCCTCAGAATTGGCGGCCTGCACCCGCTGTTCCACGCCCTCCGTCGTCAGCCGAAGGGTGTCTTTTGCCTTTGCCAGCTTCCTCCTGAGGCTAGCTATCTCCTCATCAACGGCGCTCCTGGCCTCCCTCATCTGCTCCACCCTCCGAAGATGCTCGCAGAGGCCGATGAAGTTCTGCGGCGACGAACACAAAATAGTCATACGCATTGCGCATACATTGTATAATAACGGAAGAAAGGAAAAGAAAAGGAAAATGTGACGCACGGAGGCGCTGCTCAGAAGGATCTTGGACTCGAGGCCGTTGTCGTCCATCCGAGAGAGTGCCATCCTATCGGCCGAGGGCATCACCTGACACATGAACGCCGGGGGGTTGAGGGTGGTGTCCAAGATAGAACTTCCCTTCGGCACAAAGGCCTCCACCTTCTCTCGACCGAAGAAGGCCTCATTGACGAATTCGGGTGTAGGGCCTGAGGCATGCCCCTCGTCCTCAACGATCACAACATTGGAGGTCGGCTGCTTGTCGGAGCCAGCCGCCTTCTGCTTCTTGGTCGGGGGCTCAGCCCCCCTTTCGGCTTTCTTCTTTTTCAGGGCCACTGCGGCCTGAGAGCCCCCGACCCCATCACCGGCAGCTATAGAGGGCTGCTCACCCCCCTTCTTGGATAAGGCCTTGACGGGCTTCTGCTTGACCGGCTCCTTCTGAGCCTTCGCCTTCTGCTTCTTCAAAGCAAAAAGAGACTTCACGTCCATGTTAGCACCTGCAAACAACAAGGATGAATTAGATCGAGGGGTCAAATACGAGGACAAAAGAAAAAACGATGCAAAATTTATCTAAGTACAAAAAATGTAGAGCCTTCGGGAAACACCTCCAGTCCTCTCGAAGGCTCAACCAAGTAGGGGGTATTTCTCATCCTTTTCCTCCAGAAAACGATAGCGCCGGAAGCCCAGGTCGTACAAATCGTCTGGAAGGGTGGAGCTCCTGATCGTTGCCAGCTTGTTGGACCCCTCCGGGAAAGTTGTTATCTTCTTCCCGTTCTTCTCAAGGGCAGCACTCTCCACCTTCGGGTGTCGCCTGAAGTGGTTCCTCAGCTCCCCCGGGAATGGATTCTCCTCCATTCTGATGTAGCAGAAGCGATCCCTCCAGCCTTTATGGGACGAAGGCACATCGGAGAAAAGCCTCCATTGGGGAATCCGTTGCATGTTGGCAAACCCCTCAGCGTTCGTATGACCTCCCCGGCAGAGGTTGAAGCTTTGAAAGAACAAGTCGAGGCTAGGGGTTACCCCCCGGGACCGGCAGAGGTGCAGGAAGCCGGCGATGTACGAGTGGCTGTTTGGGGTTAGTTGGCAGGGGGCTAACCCAATGTACCGAAGGTACTCACGGAGGAAGGGATGTAATGGGAACCGAAGACCCATCGACACAAAAAGGACGTGGACCGCGAAACACCCCTCGGGAGCGTGGGACAGCACGTCATTAGGATCCGGCTCTACCACCGTCGCCGAAGGTCCCACGTGCAGCTGAGTGACGTAGCATTCGGCCCGATTAGCCCTTGAGTTTATTGCAAGAGCAGTGATATTCAAATATGAGTGCCCCTCGGGAATCCCAAACAGGTTTCCTCTGATCAGCTGCCTTCCGCTTTTTCCCGGGAGCTGCTTTCGGCTTCTTCACTCTCTTCAGAGGTGCAGCCCGAAGGGGATCCAGGCAGAGGGGGCGTGAAGTTCCTGCCCCGCTAGCAATCGCCAAAGGGATAGCCACCGTCACCCGCTGGCTTTCTTTCTCCTCCTCCTCCTGAGCCAATTGTAGAGCGAGGGCTAACTCTTCATCCTCCACTACTTGTTCAAACTCCTCGGCCTCTGCTTCAGTCCTGAGGTTTTCTTGAACCCTCTCGGCCACAACAAAGTCATTATGCGCCGGAGACTGCCCACTCGAAGACTCAACGTCAGAATAACTCCCGGACCGGACCGAGGGCTCCCTCGAGATATCTTGGGAATCATTTGCGGACGACATCCCTTGATAATGTGATCAGAGGGTTGGGGAGATACGGACTGGACCAACGTCTCCCTCGAGATATCTTGGGAATCACTTGCGGACGAAATCCCTCGAGATTTTCTAAGGCCACTAACAGCTAAGCCTAGGGATTGATGAGAGAAGTACGTAAGGAAACTTAAGAACATGTGAAGAACTAACCTCAGAAATTGGTTTTGATCGAACAAGTCGCTTTCTCTCTCTAGAAAAATTTGGTCAGGGCTTCGCTACAATGAATTCGCACAAAGGAATGTGAACCAAGTCAGGGGTATTTACAGCCTCCCCATTTCGGGCTTGGGCCGAGAACTGGGCCCCTGATTGAAAACACATCATTACAGGCCGCAGTTTCAACCAATAGGTGGCACCCGCCCCCTTCAACCAACAGGAGCCTGACACGTGGACCCCTTCTCCAACGACTCTATTCTAACGGCCATATTCTAAAAATATCAAGGGGGCCTCGGCTGGCACCTTTCGAAACAAACACCTTCGGGTTGCGCATCGCCTTCGAGTAAAAGCATTAGGAGCCTTTGGCTTATCACACATCATCCACCCCTCACCTGGATATGCCCTCGGATCAAAAACACGCTTCAAACTCCTTCAGCCCAAACTTGCCTTCGGCCTAAAGAAGTGGAGGACTGGGAGAACCCCTCGGGGAACTATGAACAAAAGGACATTGACAAATAACACACGTAGCCCTCGGGAAAAATAATAAACACAAACCCTCAAGTATGAATGGTCGATACACCCTTCGGGAAACACAAATTACCAAAAAATTACAGAAGTACCAAGGATGATAAAGCAGCCTCCGCCACAACACATGCGAGCAACACACTTGCACTCCCTTCAGGGAGCCCTCAACCTTCGATATGTGGGGGACTGAGGGAATGCCTTCGGCAAACATCAGAAAGCGGAGAAGCTGAGGCACCAAAATAAAAACAGGGAAGCCTTCGGGTGAAACACCACAGTTTCAGCAAAAGGAGTGGGGGACTCCTGATGGAGTATATGGCCCAGGGACCCCCGACCCACAGACTCCTACTACTCTAACACAGGCCCAACAGGGCCAGGAAGCACGTACAAGAGGCCCAAAGCATAGCGGCCCGAGTGTCAAGAAGCTCACGATGCACATACGGGTGCCTTCGGCCCCACGGCCGAGAGCTCCAAAACTCACGGGGCAGCCGGATTTGATCATTCAAAGCTACTGGGAGAAAATGGCAGAAATCAGGACCCTTCGGCTTCTAGGCGCCCTCGACATAAGAGCAGCCTTCGGCTACACATAGCCTTCGGCCATAAAGGAGCTTTCGGCTACAACACAATCGTCGAAGATTCCCTTTGGGGACAGGCAACCACCGCATTTAATGCGACGCCACGTCCACCCACCGCATTTAATGCGATGCACGTGTGAATGCCGGTGGCACCCCGATTGAGATGACCCATCGACCGTTAGATTGTTGACACGTGTACTCTCATCGTATTTATGACTGCTATAAATAGCAGCCCTTATTCTCCTTGTAAAACACACTGAGTTCATTCAATACATTTGTCTCTCTTACTTGTTTGCTCTGACTTCTCTCTAGTTATTCTCCGCAATAACCCTCTGATAAGCTACCCCGAGTACTCCATCCATCAGAAGCTTATTCAAAACTTTCTTCCTATTACTTATAACTTGCGGAGATTTCAATTGGTTCTTAGACCATCAAGATACCCCTTATGTAAAGAGCAGTATGATACTACAAACCATCTTTACTATCAATGCTCATTGGCAAGAAAGGTGTGGGATAATTTCATGGGGCTTTTCAATATTCCCTCTCGTGGGAGTAACATTTCTATTACACAAGTCTTAATTCTATGGTGGTTGGAAGCTGGTTCAGAAACATTAGCAGATATCTTCAAACACAACCTCCCGGGTATTATCTGTTGGCATTCATGGAAAGATTATTCTTCCCACTTCTGACCAGCTAATTATTGGAATTAAATTCAACACTCAGAACTGGTTGTCTAAGTTTTCAAAGCTTAAAAGGCAGGCGGATTGAGGGATTTCTTAAATCTGGAAAACCTAATCCCTAGTCATTTCAGATTTACAGATAGGTGCAAGGTGATTAAATGGCTCAAACCAAAAGTGGAGTATAAACTTAATGTGGATGCTTCATACCTTCACGGATCTTCTTTAGGTGGTGCTATTCTCAGAAACCGTCAAAGGGAACTCATTTGAGTTGTTCTTTTATACGGTTAAATGATTCTAATTTTTATATTCATGTTTACATCTAATTTGATGATATCATTCCATGAAAACACTAAAGAATAGTTATAAATTTGAGGTGTTTTTTTCTATTTGACTTTGATAAAATTTTTATTCTTTTAACATTTATTTTTTTCTTTGACATTTTTGTTGCAACAGATGTTATTTTATATATGAAAATAAATTTTGTTCAACACCTACTATAGTACTGTTTTACTAAATTTTGATATTTTTTATTTAATTCAATTTTGGCCTCACCTGAATGTTAATGTTGAACCAGCCCCTGGTTTTAGGTGGAAACGAACGCTGCTAGCTCGCTTGCACTTCTCTTTGACAAAGACAAACATGAAAGTGGGGAGGTAAGATCATAACATTTGTGACTCGGGCCAAGGATATATAAAGGATTGACTTTTAGCCACATTTATCGTGAAGGGAATTATCCATCCTATTTCTTGGCTAAATCGGACCTTAGTTTGAATGATCATGAATTTTTCTTCATGGTGGCCAATTGCCGGCCCAAGTTCGACAGAGTTATTTTGGAGATATTTTTTGAATTCCTCATCTTCTTTTTTAATTCTGCATTTTATTTCTGTATTTTTTGCTCTTGATTATGTTTTAATGTACTTCGGTTTTTTTTTCTCATTTTGGATAATATAGAGATGTACTTGAAGTTGAGAATTACTAAACTTTAGACCGTAATTTTTTATTGTAATTAAAAGTGTCTAGTTGTATTTTTTCAGTTTTTGTTAGCATTGTTCCAAAAAAGGTGAAATCTCCCACCCCAGGAGCCCCCACCCCGCCTCGACGGGATGGTGGGGAGGTTAGTCACGGTGACTCAGTCAGAAGAATGACAGTAGGCTCATACACCTGTGCGCACCAGAGGCACAGCCTTATTTCAGGTTCTGTGACCTCCACCCGATCGCTGCGGGGATTCGAACCTTGTCCATTGTTCCAAATCTCCCACCACTCGACCAACTGAGCTACCCGTGCGGGTACAGTTTTTGTTAGCATTAACGTACCTTATGTTCAAGTGTTTATTTTGTAGTACTAGCTTGTATTTAACTGATTAAATAAATAAACAAAAGTGACTTTTGTTAGTTTGTATGTGTGATTCGGTGAATACTATTATGTCGTTATCATTCTTTATTTTAGAGTGTTGACAATGGATTGATTCCTTTCTGATATGATGACCAACAGACTGTTAGTACTTGGTATAAGATAGAGTTGGACTCGGGCCGGGCCGGGCCGGGTCGGGTCGGGCCTAGGCTCGGCCGGGCCGCCGGTTCTGAATAGATGGGCCCGGGACCGGTCCGGGTACCCACTGGGTCCGGTCCGGGTCGGGCCTATTATCAATTTTTTTTCCCTCTTCCTAATTAACCCCCCTCCCACCCCCAACCCCCAAACCACCCCAAATGGCCCAAAATACCCAACCCAACCCAAAAATTTAAAAAAAAAAGAAAAAAAAAATCAATTTTGGCCCGAACCGGACCTGGCCCCGGCCGGGCCGGGCCTTGTTTTGGGTGACCCGAGCCCAGACCAGAATACCCACGGGTCGGGCCTACCCAGACCGGTCACTGACCGGGCCACCGGGTCGAGCCGGGCCGGGCCGGAACAGTACCGATCCCGGGCTGGTTCCGAGTCGGGCCACCCGGCCCGAGTCCACCCATAGTATAAGAGAACTGACTATCAATCATCAACATAAGAAATGAGAAGACATGATAATATGCAGTTATCGGTCTGAGATGGGACGGGACGTGTTTGTTCTCAATCTTCCCGTGCTGCGTCGGCGGCCGTGATTGCAAATCCACCTCTTCATCTCTTCTATTTCCTGAGAATAGCCGTCATTATTATCCTCACACATCTGCCGCACCGGGGGAAGTCCGTGACCCAGCGGGACACCTTATTAGGACTTAAGCGGCTATGGGGTAACCCGTCTACGCTTCGAGCCTGGAATTCCACCTCCTCTCCGTGTAGCTGGCCAGAGTGCTCCCGTGATGGATTGGTCACCGACATCTTTCTCAAGAACTACGACATTGTCTCCAAAACCCCGTCGGGAATCTGCAACCTTAGCAACCTCACCACACTCGATCTTTCCTACAATTACATCCCCCACCACTCCCCTACGTTCTTGTACAATTGCTCCAAGTTGGAGCACTTGGATCTCACTGAAAACTACTTTGAGGGTCCCCTTCCTCACGACATTGACCAGCTAAGGAACCTCCGCTACCTGGACCTCAGCTTCAACAGTTTCACGAGTGACATCCCACGCTCTATCGGGAACATCACAAAGCTTCAGCATCTTATGATGGACGAAAATGGGTTCAACGACACTTTCCCCGTCGAAATTGCCAACTTATCAAATCTGGAACATCTGTCGATGGCATACAACAGCTTCTCGTCGAGGGAGATCCCGGAGGAGTTCGGAAACTTAAAGAAGCTCAAGTTCTGCTGGTTGGCCTCAACAAATTTGATCAGAAAAACCCCTAAATTCTTTGACAAATTGTCTAGCCTCGAGCGACTGGATTTGGCTCGTAACAATTTACAAAGGTCATGTCCCGCACAGATTGTTCTTGCTCCCAAACATCGCTCATGTTTACCTGTACCAAAACAAACTCTCTGGTTCTATTCCCTCTCATTTCGCAAAGCCATCAAAACTGGTGGGGGTGGATTTGTCCAAAAATACGTTAACAGGTGAAATATCGGGAGGGTTTGGAGAGTCGGAGGGACTTGAACTTTTGGCTCTCTTTATGAATCAATTATCCGGTGCAATTCCTTTAAATATAGGCCTGATGCCATCCCTGAAAAATGTCAAAGTTTTCCTTAATAATTTGAGTGGAATTTTGCCTCCTCAAATCGGGCTTCATTCCAAACTAATATCCCTTGAAGTGTCTGGGAATAGGCTAACAGGAAGGTTGCTGGAGCATCTGTGTGCCATTCGACAACAACTTTATAGGGGGGAATTCCTCCATCCCTTGAGAGTTGTGACACAATGTTGACTATCCAGTTGCATAACAATGCGTTTTCAGGGAAAGTTCCACCCTGGATTTGGAAATTGAAATGCATGATAAGCGTGATGTTGAGCAACAACTCCTTCTCCGGTAAGCTTCCGCATGATGTGGCTGAGAACTTCACGAGGCTAGAGATCAACAACAACCACTTTTACAGGGAACTCCCTCCCTTAAAAAACTCGTCTTCATCACTTCGAGGCATTCTTGTGTTTCAAGCAAGTAACAATCTATTGTCGGGACATATTCCACAAAATTTTACTGCTCTTCCTAAGCTGATTGAGCTAAAGTTCAATGGGAATTCACTTTCTGGCGAACTTCCCGAAAAGATCTTGTCATGGGCATCGTTGAGTACATTGAGTCTTGCTAGAAACCAGCTTTCCGACAATATTCCAGCAACTATTGGATATTTGCCCAATCTTGTTCATCTAGACCTATCAAACAACAAGTTATTCTGCACAATCCCACAAGAATTAGACCGTTTGAGTCTCAATGGGCTTAACCTTTCATCAAACAAACTCTTTGGGAGAATCCCAGATCATTTTGATAACGTTGCTTTTAAGAATAGTTTCTTGAGCAACCCTAGCCTGTGTGCTATGGACCAACTGAGTAGTAGACTTCCACACTGTCATTCGAAAACCACACGCCACTTCCCACCTAGGGTCATTATTCTCATTGTTGTCTTTGGAGTTATTGTTATTCTAGGTGTTTCATTAGTGTTGTTCAAGATTAGAGATTACTCCACGAAGAGGAGGAAAATGCCTGACATCCCAACATGGAAACTGACATCATATCAAAAATTAGATTTCACTAAAGAGGAAATTCTATGCAATTTGACAGAAACCAATCTGATTGGGAGTGGTGGCTCCGGGATGGTATACAGAATTTCCACCGGGAAAGAAGGTTCTTGTGTTGCTGTGAAGAGGATCTCAAGCAAAGGGAAGTTAGATGATGAGCTTGAGAAGCAGTTTGCTATAGAGATGGCAATTGTGACCGATCCGATGGATACCCGTACTGAACCGCCCCGGTCAAAATGGGGAAAACCGCATTAACCGGGTAATGGGTACGGGGCGAGGAATACCCGTTTTGGTTTTATGGGTAACGGGGCGGTTACGGTTTTATACATGCCCGTCCCATTACCAGCCCCGTACCCGCCCCGTTTATTTGAAGTTATATTTTTATTACATTCTCATCTATTATTTGTCTCACAACTAATAAAAGATGAGATTTTTCTATTTTCATTGTGTATATATGGATAATAGATGTACTAGCTATAGTGTATGAATGAAAGTTCATTATATATCTTAAAAGTCTTGTTTGATTATTATTACATTTTTTCGTGATTAGTTATTTCTTAGATCAAGTTTTTTAGGTTCAAATTAATTTAGATGCCTTCTTTCTTATCTTGCAGATATACAAAACTTTAAATTGGCGTCTCCTTTTAAAATATTATTTTTATATTAAAATATCAATGACTCATTTAATAAAACGATTACTTGCGGTGACCCACGGTTATACCCGTTACCCGTTGGGGCGGTTATGGTTTGGGTAAAAATTACCCGTTGGATAATGGGGCGGTTATGAGGTGGGGGAATTACCAAACGGCCGGGTACGATTATATGTAAAACCGTCCCCGATCCACCCCGTTGCCATCCCTAGTTTGCTACTGAGATGGAGATACTCGGCTCAAAAGAAAGAGAGGCTCCCTTGAGAGCTTGGGATTGGATTGGCCTAAACGGTTGCAAATCATCACTGGTGCCGCTCAGGGCCTCTTCTATATGCACCATGATTGTGTTCCTCCCATAATGCACCGAGACGTAAAGTCGAGCAACATCTTGTTGGATTCTCAGTTCAACTCTCAAATTTCTGATTTCGGTTTAGCAAAAATATTAGTCAAGGGTGAACTGAACACAATGTCTTCCATTGCTGGATCTTCATCACTATAACGTATTCTTCATGATTTCTTTCTTTGTATATGTGTGTAGTAGTAGTACTAGTAGTAGTATACGAAATTGATGATGATGATGATGATTTCATAGGTCTTGTTCATTAAATAAATAGTTACTAACCATTTTGCAATCTTGCAGAGTATGCATACACAACGAGAGTGACTGAGAAGATTGACATCTATAGCTTCGGGGTGGTGTTGCTCGAACTGGTGACAGGGAGAGAGCCCAAGTTTGTGGATGAGCAAATAAGCCTTGTGGAATGGGCATGGGAGCACTATGCTACGGAAAAGGCGATCGATGAAGTCTTGGATGAAGAGATCAATGAAGCACATGAGTTCCTGGAGGACATTAAGACAGTGTTCATGCTCGGGCTTACATGCACTAACAGGTTACCTTCAAACAGGCCTTCCATGAGAGAAGTTGTGTGTATTCTCCTTCAATGCCGAACTCTTAATGACTCTGTGAGTAAGAACATGTCGGGGAAAAACTACAATGCCGCACATCTCGTTGCCCATGACAGCTAATCACTTTGTACATCTTACTCCAGAAAGGCAGGTGATAATGAAAGTGATGATTGTATAATGTCCATTGTTTAACAAGTACTGCAAGCCAGACCCATAGAGTGTTGTAGTCGGTGCGACAGACATATACCTATATACTACCTACAAATGCATAGTATTTGTAAAAAAAACTTGATGCAATTATACCTACTCAAAAAATATCAGGGCCTTTATACATAGTTATATACAATTATAATAATGCAAATTTAGCTTAAATTTGCTTAGACAAATTTATATAAACTTTCAACTTTTCATACCTCCAATCCGGGATAAAATTACTAATAAAGGAGTAGTAACTAGAACCGTCCTTATTTTAACAGATCTGGATTGGTTTCGATTCTAGACCAGATCCTAACTACAAGATATTTAAGGAAAAAATTGCTAGCTTTTTATTAAGAACTTTACTCCTTAAGTGTTGGAAAATATTTACTACTACAATGTAATTAAGCCTCAATTCCTATTTAATCATCCATAAGTAGTGTTTCTACTTATGTGCGAAGCAATAATCATCTTATTTGAAAGTGAAGACCAAGTATGGTTGCTTAGTCAACTCTGAAATTGAGTATATATAGACGGATCCATGATTTATAGTGCCAATTTTTTCATCAGCTATTAGTACAGAATAGGAGTAAAATTATTCATGAATGCAAAATATGACTATTGCGGCACTGGGGTAAATGAAAATGATGATGAAAATGATGAATGCAAAATATGACTATTCTCCTTTTATTTCCGAAATAGAAATATAGAATTAATATATGGTCATCTCTGATCTTCCAATTCTACCCCTTCCTATAATCCCCAATAACACTTATTTTATTAATAACAAAATAATAGTAAAAAATAACAAAATATAGTTTTATTTATAATAAAAACATATAAATAAATTAAATAACTAAAAATATTAAAAAACATGTAGGCCTCTACCGCTACATCTTCCACCTCCCAAGTCCCAACACCGCACATCTGATCGCCGGGAAAAAAGTCAACTGGTGCAAAAATGCCATATTCCACTGAAAACGTAATGAAAATGACATTTTTACTCTTTGAAGACATCCAAACTTTGCCTTCAAAACTTCAATCATGTTGGCATTTTCGCGGTAATCGTAGGTGGCGGTGCTGGAAGGTGGCTTAGGTGGTGGTTGAGGCATGATTATTTTTTATTTATTTATAACGTTTTTTATTTTTTTAAATAATTTTTGTATGTTTTATCACTACGTATTATTTAGAACATCCTATTAATCATGAGAATGGGAAGGGTAGGATAGGAAGAGTTAGAGGTTGTTTACTTTTTTCTATTAAGCCCTGCCCGAATTACGATGTTGGGTTAAGACACATAAAGTAGGAGAAATAATACAGGAATCATGACAGAAGACAAATAAGGAATTATCGGAACGACTAACGGTAAAACCATGACATTAAAAGAAAGATACTAAAATGACATAACCGGGTGTGAGGAGCCTGTTTTAACCCATAAGTAGATTTCCTCAATTCAAACGACACAAATGATTAAGAAAGTAGGAATGACTGGAATATGAAGGTCACATGAAGACTTCTTCAATAAGGTGACCATATAATTAGAGCAGACAGATAAGATGAAATGAAAGTCAGTGCCAAAGAAAATATGGAAACCATAAAAACATTTGGAATCATATTACTCCTTGTATATTAAAAAACATACCATCATTCATCATGTAATAAGAAATCTTAGAGACCAGATTCAGAAGCTAGACACAGTACAAAGCTTGAATGTTGACAAGCTAGGTACATCAAGGGGTAAGATTGAGAGCACGTCTATAACCCGCCCTCAATAAGTCCAGAACTGTCCTAAGTTGTTTTATCATAATGGGTGTTTCTCCTCGCACATTCTAAGATTGTTTTGTCTGCGGTGATGAAGTACGCAGCAATGGAAGCTGTAAAGCAGAATGTAAAATTGGGTCACCTTCTTATTAAGTAACGCGGGGACCAAAGTGGAAATGGCTAATAGACATGAGACTCATAAGGGTGGAAAATTTTCTTCTTTATCTGTTTACATACCTGAAGATATAACAAGTGCCTGAGCAGTGTAGTTGAGATGGGCCTTTGCCCAAGGAATGGTTCTGACTGCAACTAACTGAAATTTTGGGAAAACTATTGTGAGCTAATTAGCTAAAGGCAGACAAATCCAGCAAAGCTAAAAAAATGATTTATGACACAAGCTACTGAAGGGGCAAAAGGCGCATTTGGTTCGTGGAATGTTATTTTACCCATGCAATGTAACTAAGGCAATGTAACATAGCCAACCTAGTTTGGTTTATGTAATCGGATTTCCGCAGTAATAATAATTACCGCCAGGTTTTGATTTTAAGTAAAAGAACAGAGAAAGTTTCTTATGTTGGATTTTAAGGTTTGGAGTAATATTTTAGACTGTTCCGAGTTTACTTTTCTGTTGGAAAAGTAAGGATTCTCCTTCACAAAACCTATTTAGTTTTCACATTAAGTAAAAGAAGAGAGAAAGTTTACTTTTCTGTTGGACAAGTGAGGATTCTCCTTCACAAAACGGATTTAGTTTTCACATTAAGATTTACGTGAAAATAATTGGGAGGCTGAAATATAAGCCAATACAACAAGTTAACAACATAGAAAAAAATAACAACAATACTAATAATAATTATTATAATAACAATTACGATGTATAATGCAATAATGATAACAATAAAAAAATGACATGCATATTTGGATGTGAAATGTGAACAGTGGATACCGTTGGAACCGCACTACAAATGCATGCAATTCCGGCAGCTTTGACCCCAGCACGTACACCCTCTGCGCAGTTTAGAAAGGAAAGCAAGCCCATTAAAACTATTCTTTCAGTAAATGACAAACAAATAAGAATTATGTGATGAAAATTTTATGTACAGAACTACAGATCAATACTCTAGCGGAGCAGATAATATAACAAAGGATATCAAATATGCCTCTTCCGAAAAGATGAAAAATGCAAGCATGTGTGTTGCCCCTACCCAGCTTACAATCTTATATCCCCACTTAAAGAAATAGGCCTTAGTCCTAAATTCCTACACCATGCATAACCATGAGATTGTTTTTCCTAAGTTTATTTCTGAGCTTATCTGCTCAAAAAATAGAAGTTTTGCAACCACTAAAACCATGTTTGGTTGCTGAGAAATTGTTCTCTTCCGGCCTTATTCTGAAAAACAGCACAGTCCATTTTTTGGTTGGTGATAAATCATTTTCTTCCTTATTCCAAAAAATATCACACATTCACACTCCACTGTTGGGTTGGTGCATTCATTTTTTCATTGGAGAATTATTTCCTTGACTTTGACAAATAATCCAACCCTTGGGATTATTTTCCCCATGACATAAGGAAAAAGGGAAAAAACGCATAACTGGACATTAATGTCCAAGAAACTAGTAATTGACATTGATATAAAGTAATATTACCTCCGTCCGACCGTCCCATTGAACATTGTCAACTTTATGTTGAGTGTGAAATAAGAAAAGTAAAAACTTTGTGGTTGAGGTTTGTGTAGAGGAAAGAGAACGTAAACCACAAATTCAATACTTGAAATGGAAAGTGACAAATTTTGGGACAAACAAAAAATGAAAGTTGTCAAAGTCCCATGGGAAGGAGGGAGTACATTTTAGTGAAAGTATGGAAATATTGGTCTTTACACAACTTATACAGACACACAGTTATAGGCTTATAGCATTATCACATAAGAGCAGACTTAACAACGAAATACGTACTGCTGATAGTTTTATACCCACTAACCAAGCACTGGAATATGAATTCTTTCTCTAATCGTTATACCCCTCCAAAGTGGCTGCAAAAATGCTAGAGTACAAATAGGTGTCAGAACCCTCTTTACAAGTTGTTGCAATGTTAGGCTTTACTGAAGCCTCTGCCCGGCTTCCAAAAAGCCACGTTTGGGCAAAACAAGGACTATAAAGCTTTTTTCCTAAAACAAAGATTATCTTCAGTGCCTAAGTGAGGGCACTCATTCAACTCTAATTTAAATCATTACCTTCTCTATTCAGTTCTGCTTTATTTGAACTACATAAAATTTAAAGTAGCTTATTTTTCTCAGGAAAAATATATAAATGAAACACATTACTTTGTTTCTCTTCTACCAATAATTTGACAAAGCTAACGGTACATTCATTCAATGCATACACGAAGAAAAATATAGCCATCATATTCCATTATATGTGTGACAAATTTCCAATATCAATCCAGTAATTGGGACATGAACTGTCTCAACACATTGTCATCTTATCATAATTTTCATGCAGGTGGATTTTATGATGGTGGGATTGGTGGCGCTTCATTATTTCATCTCATTATATGTCCTTCGCTTAAGGGTTGTGAACCCTCACACAACCATGGAAGACGGCACTGATAGGACAATGATATCAGATTCACACTACAATCTAGAATTCAATAGCGTAGATCGTTTATTGAGAAGAAAGTGTCGTAAAAGGTGTACAGGGGGTGGGACAGTTCGAGATGCCCAATCTCCAAGTTACCAGCCAATAACCAAAATAACAGCCTCCCATTATTAGCTCTCCCCTTACTATTTATAGTTAATTATCCACGCAGGGATAAACCGAACCCTCTACTAGTTATTTAAGTACTAATAACTACTTATTTCTCCTCTTGTACACCTTATTAAAATATTGAATAGGCTGTTGCTGCACCATATGCCTCTCATTACTCCCCCCCTGGAATTTCACCTTGTCCCCAAGGTGAAGGTCTGGGAATTGTTCAGTCAATGATTGCAATAATTCCCAAGAATCTTCAAACTGAGGCAAATCCTTCCAGTGTACCAGTATCTCTATCTTTCCCTCCTTGTTAATCCTTGAGTCCAACACTTCTTCCGGTATCACCTGTAACTCCCAATCTTCACTCAAACATTTAGGTAGGGGCTGAAATGCAGTTGTAGAAGATATAGTCTTCTTCAATAGTGAGACATGAAACACTGGGTGCACTTTGCTGTCTGCTGGCAGTTGCAGTTTAAAGGCTACAGGACTTAGTTTTTCAATTATCTCAAATCGGCCATAGTATCTAGGGCTTAATTTCTGGTTGATTCTTCTGGCTAAACTCCTGAGCTTGTATGGTTGAAGTTTCAAATAGACCATGTCCCCCACTGCCAACAACACCTCTCTCCTATGCTTGTTGGCTTGCTGCTTCATTTGATTTTGAGCTCTTTCCAAATTTTCTTTCAATTCTTTAAGCATCATGTTTCTTTGGGCAGTCATTCTGGAAACTTCTTCCACAGCTGTAAGATTAGCATCCCCTCTAATCACAGTAGGAGGATCCTGACCATAAAGAGCTTTGTAGGGTGTCATTTTCAGTGAGGTATGATAATTTGTATTGTACTAGAATTCAGCCCAAGCTAACCAATTAACCCATTGTTTGGGTCTCTTTCCAGTGATACACCTCAAGTAGGTTTCTAGGCTCTGATACCAATGATAGGACAATGATATCAGATTCACACTACAATCTAGAATTCAATAGCGTAGATCGTTTATTGAGAAGAAAATGTCGTAAAAGGTGTACAGGGGGTGGGACAGTTCGAGATGTCCAATCTCCAAGTTACCAGCCAATAACCAAAATAACAGCCTCCCATTATTAGCTCCCCCCTTACTATTTATAGTTAATTATCCACGCAGGGATAAACCGAACCCTCTACTAGTTATTTAAGTACTAATAACTACTTATTTCTCCTCTTGTACACCTTATTAAAATATTGAATAGGCTGTTGCTGCACCATATGCCTATCAGGCACTATTGGGGGCGTGAATGCTCTTGTTGACTCGATCGACACTGGAGCGGGTTATGTGAGGGATGAAACTATACATCATAGAAGCTATTGGGAAGTAGTCAAATAGCGTTGCTAGATTCAAGAAGAAAAACTGAATTTTTATATATAATAAAACAAGACCAAATTTAACTTCCTAATATAAAAACTTTGATCTATTCCCATTCAAGACAAAACCATTTCATATATAGTGAACTACTATAGTTTATGATAATGAAATACTTTATGATTTATTTAAATGATATTTTAAACTAGTACAGAAAAAGTTGTTGTGTCCAGAGTGCAGCCTCAGGTGGAATAACCTGGTCTGATCCAGAAATGACCCAGACCGAAAATCTCAAGTAATCTCGTATATCTGTTGTTCTCGGTGATCAGGGATTACTACTAGACCCGGCCTGACTTGTTCGGACCTTCGAATGAACTAAAAAGAATTATGGATAGAGCAAGGGTAAAATACATTAATCCATTTTTTAAAAGCACAAAATTTGTATGATATACTGTATAGCTTTGGGGGGTTGTAATAATTGAGGGTTATTGGGAAAGAATTTACAAGTTTTGTGATGACTACTACTCCATAGTAACTTGGGGGATTATTATGTGGATGATTGTCAGTATTTTGTATTTTTCAACTAATGCTGATGGAGAATATGATGAAAATATTAAGAATAGGACAGGTCTTTTCCAGACTAAAACCAGCCCAACCTGATCCCAACGATTGATCTTCCTCTGTTCAATTAACAATGTAACATTATATCTATTTCTGATCCCAATTAAAACCCCACCCGACCTGGCCAGATCCCACACATGGACCTGCCACTGCCTGGTTATAACTTTCATCAAAGAGCACAGTTACAAATATAACTGAGGATATGGTGCTAACCGTGCTTTGGGCATGGAACATAGAGATGAACCGTAAGAACATGTATGTGGAAGGATATTACTGATTTTTGACAAACATAATACCATATAGGGATGTACTGATATTTTTAGATAGGCGAAGCATATTTGGTTAAAACATATAACTAGCTTGACATTTTGCATAAATCAATTTTAGTTGTTAAATGGATCCACTATCCTTATAGCTAACAAATGAATATCTTACGAAGTAATTTAACTTTTTCTCAATAAAAAACAACAAACAAACTGCTCTTAATTAAGACAGTATCCTGTCAATTGGTACAGAAGATCACCTCATTTAAGCAGTTCAACGCTGAATACCATAAACACAAAGGCCGCCCAAATTGCAAAGTGAATGAAAAAGTGAAAACTTTAATAAGATAATGAGATCTGATGGGGTAGGGGTGAAAATTGGAGACATTCAAAACCTTGAGTACACTGTTTGCTCCTGCGGATCTTCGCGTCTTCAAGTGGAGAAGCAATCAAGAAAGGTCTGTGTCCTTCTGAATCTTGATATCTGGTCGGAGCACCACTCACCATGGGTATTGGTCGGACAAAACGTCCGATCATACAATTCCATAAACCGGCCATAGTATAAAGAAGGGGGGGTTTTGAAATTTGCAGTACGATCCGTTCGAATAAAAAATCTAAGGTTACGGATGAGGGGCAACAGTCCACGAGGAACTTTAACGACAAACATGCAACATCATTGGATGAACACCAATGAAAATGACATAGTGATCTCTGTGCTCACTGAGGGTATCAAAGGGGAAAGGTACGAGGGGAAATTGGGAAAGTCCACATATACTTCTGGATTTCTAAAATTTGCAAAAATATCTCTAAGCATTCCTATTTCTAAAGTTTCCTATAAAAGAGTGGCGTTTTTTCGAAATAATGCTCAAAAAAAAATTGTTTACGCAAGTAACGTAGGAGTGAAAATATTTACAAAAATACCGATGGACTGATCATGGTTAGAGAAAACCACCAAATCAAACAGTTATTTAAAAGTTGTCAAATTGGATGGCGACTTGGTCATTAAACAGACGACCGAATACCAGACTTAGGAGACAAAATGCAAAGCAGCCTCAAAAACTCCTCCAGCGAAAATTCGAGCTACAAGCGACGGGAGCAGACCATGGCTAATCCACCTATCAAGGCCACACCGAATCCATCTTCTTCAATACTCTTTCTTCCAGGAAAATGAAATATTCATTTTATCTCATATTTCAAGTTCGGGTTTTGGAATGATAAATTTCAAGAATTGTATATTAGGAATTTATTTGTTGTTGAAGTTCGTAAGTGTTTGCATATGTATGAAATGTTGAAGTTTAATGTGGATGTTAATTTAATTTTTTTGTTTTGTTAAGTGTAATGATATCATAGAAATTTTGCTTAAATATGATTATATTTATATGTTTCAATATGTATGAAGTGTTGAATTCAGGTATATAAAGTGTGTGTATTCATATTTACTCATCATTTATATATCGTCAATGACCAGTCCGTTGGGCATTGAATCATCCATAAACTGTTCATTTAACGCAGCATTAAAAGACAAGAACGTTGGGCATTTATTGCTGTAACAGAAGACCCCTGAGTGAAAGATGTATATCTTTGTTTCTATTAATAATTTGGACTTCAGCATTCCCATAATGTATTCACAATTTAAGCCAATCTCCGTAACACGGTTGATTTAGTAAACCTGAAGAGTATGCACCTGAGTGAAAGACGTATATCTTTGTTTCTATTAATAATTTGGACTTCAGTCCTCAAGAAGAATTGTGTATATTTACGATAGGAACCTAACACAACTCATCCTCCAGGTGTTCTGGTCTTAAGCCAACAGAAGACCCCAAGGCCTTCTGTCCGGAGGCCAGCAGAAACCCTCGTATCTTTGAATGATAGATTTTTCGGACGGCATTCGTGTCCGCAGGTCACCCGCGCACACGAGTCGCAATTTTTCTTCTCCGTCTCGGGATTTGATCGGCACCCCCCCCTGCGCGTAAGAGAGAGCCTTTACCTTTAGAAATCTTAACTCCTTAAAAGAGGCTTCTCTTTATAAGGGGGTGAAAATCCCTTGAGTTTCCGGTGTGGGATAAAACACACTAGAAACCCACCATTTTTCCAGTTTTTCCATTTCAACGAGTGAACTTCGAGAATCAATTTCTCATTCACCCGTTATCCGTTTTGAGTGTACCACATATCGAATTGTAACCCTTAACAAGGAAAATACGAAACCACTTTGACCCGACCCAAATCGGAAGTGGACCCCACTCAAATAATTGCTCCAAACTGACCATTTAATGCAATTTTTAACACATTTTTCCAACAATCCCCCACATGAATGAAAATTGATTTTCGAGACTTAAAAAGACACGAAGATAGGAGGACACGTTGTGTTCACCGGATGATCCTTGCATACGGAGAGGTAGGTTTTATCCTTTGAACCTTCCGTTGTAAAGACACGTTTATTTACTGGTTGTCTAGTAGACTCGATGTCCTTGAACTATATTGTCGTCGTGTAAACATTGACTTATCTTTACACAAGAACCTTCCAACTTTGTTCCGCTCTTATGGGTGTGCCCGTTTTGGCCATGGGTCACCGTCCTGATTCTGTAAGAGTTTCTAAAGAACTGAGCCTTTACAGTTCTCCTTTGAAGCGGCCCTCTTCTCTCTCACATAGGTGATTCTTTCACGAATATCTCGCATACTCTTCCAATGTTATCGAGTAGATCAACATTTTAGAATCATTAAAACAAACGTTTTTGTTAACCTCGTGCGGGAGTCACTGTTTTAACGAGGAGTGGGTAGGAGTCCGGGACCCCCACAGTGACCATCGTTCGCTCTATAATTTAGTTGTCCCTTTTGAACCTAGGACCAACTAGGTTGGGTATCCACTATAGAACTTTTCAATTCACGGGCTTTAGTCCCATTCCTCGTGACAACTTCTCCAATAATTCTCTATCCAATGTCTTGGTTAGCGGATCCGCTATGTTATCCTTTGACTTCACGTAGTCAACAGTGATAACACTCGTTGTGAGGAATTGTTTAATGGTGTTATGTCTACGACGAACGTGTCTAGACTTACCATTGTACATATTGCTCTGTACTCTTCCAATTGCCGCTTGACAATCGCAATGTATGCATATTGGAGGGACAGACTTTTCCCAACTTGGAATATCCTCGAGAAAATGGTGTAGCCATTCAGTCTCTTTAGTGCACTTATCCAAGGCTATTAGCTCAGACTCCATAGTGGATCTAGCTATTAACGTTTGTTTTGAGGATTTCCATGACACGGCTGCACCTCCCAAAGTGAAAACATATCCACTTGTGGACTTTGAGTCCTTAATGTCGGATATCCAACTAACGTCATTATACCCTTCAAGTACAGCTGGATATCTTCCATAGTGCAGTCCAAGGTTTTGGGTTTTACGTAAATACCTCAAAACCCTTACTATTGCCTTCCAGTGTTCATCATCGGGGTTACTAGTATATCTACTCAACTTGCTAACCACAAAGGCAATATCAGGCCTGGTACAACTCATTAGATACATCAAGCTTCCAATAATCCTAGCATATTCTACTTGAGAAATACACTCTCCACGATTTTTGGTAAGTTGTACGTTTGTTGAGGGTAAGTCCCGCAGATCCGAAAGCCCAACACGAACTTTGGATATATCAGGAATGGCCCAGAATCAAAGTGTATAAGAAAATATAAGATCTGAACTAACTAAAACTCGAAAGCCCACTTGTATTAATTAAACAATCTGATTACAAGGGATTTCCCGATCGGTAAGTCGGAAACTATGCTTTAATACAAGAAATAAGAGCAAATGATGCTATTCTAGAGCTTGAGTATTGAAATGCTCACCCTTACAATGACTTGAATCCTTCTATTTATACTAATGGAGAGCATGGGCTGCCTCTTGTTGATTGGCCGTTGTTCCACCGACTTGGTCATCCATGCTTCCACTTGCTGATGTCATAGTCTGGCATCAACTGCACCTGGCCACTTGCTGGTTGGCCGTTGCTCGAACGGGATGTTGGGCTGTACTGAGGATGTTGTCAAATTGGCCCAAGTATGATATATAGCCCGAACCTCGTTCGGTATGTCTTCTTACTGGGCCAACCTTTATTTGGGCCGAACCTCGTTCGGTATGCCTCCTTACTGGATCTTTTCATCATGGAGTGATGGCCTGTTACTTGGGCCGGATATCTTGGGCCTTCCCGATCTGGGTATTGGGCCTCTAGGTCAATATTCCAACACAAGTCCCCCACTTCCGATGTCTCGAACGAAGTGAGTGCATTAGGAAGTATATCAATGTTATAATACCCCGAATGGCGATCGGGGTACAGAAGTAATCAGTTCCCCATGCTGCGATTTGACGGCTACCGCTTCATTTCCCCATATTCATCATGATAACCGTCGTTTAGTCTTTTCATTAGACGCGTGTTTAGCTTAAATGCTCCTAGTGATGTGTCGCTCCCTGATTGGTCCTCGACACGGCGGTTTCAAGGCTATAAATTAGCCCTTAACTTCTCAATTCCGGGTTTCGACTCTGCAATTCTTTGGCCTTCGTTGTTTCCTCTGCAAATTTCCCCCTGCTCCTTTTGCTCAGGTAATTTCCCAACTTCGGATTCCCTATCTTCACTTCTGGTTTCGATCGAGATGAGCCCCAAAGAGCATTCCTCTGATTCGGAGATGGCCTCTCATGGAGATGACCGTGACATCGCCATTGTAGATGCCATCCCAGTTCCGTTTGCCGGTGTTTCTACTGAGACGGCGACAAATGCCAGGGCTGAGGCGGAGGACCTCCCTAGCACTTCTTCTTCCTCCAGTGAGGATTCCGATGACACCAAATCCGAGGACGAAATAGCCTCTATGGCGGCCGGACGTCCCAACGATGTTCCTCGCCATACTTTTGACCTAAAATTGATTAGGGAGAGGAGGCAAAAATTGACCTCTCACAATAGGGCCGAAATTCCGGCCCTCATCCCTGACCCGTTGGATTTCCGTTTGCAAGCCGGGCTTCACCCAATGCGTCATAGGCCCGGAATGACCATAGTTCACTTTGACTCAATTAGGGCCGGCCTTAGATTTCCCCTACACCCCTTCTTCATTTCTTTCTTCAATTTCTACGAAGTTGTACCGGCCCAGATTATGCCGAACTCTTATCGAGCAATGGCGGGTTTCATTTGTCGTTGCAAAGATGTCGGCGCCCGACCAACCCTAGAACTCTTCCACCAATTCTTCAAAGTAGCCCCTCAACAAACCCATGGCTATCTGGCCACCAGTGCCCGAACGGGACACATCCTGTTCAAAGGAAACCCAACTTCGATCAAAGGGTGGAAAGACCGGTTTTTCTTCGTGTCCATCCCAGACGGTCTGATTCCCCGCAAATGGAATGCCTTTCCCCGCAAAACCCCTGATCCTGTCCTTACTGAAGAAATCTACAAGGACGTGCTCGTTGTGGAGAAGGATAAATGCATGGACATAATGAATTATCTGACCCCCGAACGAGTTATAACAGCCGGGATAGGTACTGCCCGTTCTCTTGGGTTTACTTGTTTTGATAAACCAAGTGCCTTGGTCCGGGCGGTCCTTCCCGTGCGAGAAACGTTCTTTTATTCTTTTTTCTAGTTTCTCACACGCTAGGGCCGCTCGATACTAACATTGTTCTTTGTCTTTTTTTTTCAGCACCAAACCCAGATCTTCCTATGGATGATAGCAGAGTCATCGCAGCCGGTGGGGCCGGAAAACGGAAGAAATCCAGGAAGAATCCACAACCTACTCCCTCCATTATTCCCGCTCAGGAGGCTGCCCCTTCCCAACCGCTTCCAGAGCCTCAGCCAATTCAGCAGGTCC